ACAGCCATTCCTCTTAGCGAACTATTCTGACTTCTTGTAATTGCAGACATGCATATGAATTGAATGTTCAATGAGAGTTGTTTTAACTGTGTTGGCCAGTAAACTAACAAGTTTAGTTTTGATTCGAGAAATTCCTTTTTTTGTCCAAAATTCTTTGAATTATACTAATCCAATTTATTCTTTTATTCCACAGTACACTTTCCAAGGTCAGTGTTATTATTAACTCGAAATCAAGTTTTCCGATTATAATGTGACTCCTAAGGTACTCTTGAAAACAAAAGACATTCCATTTTGTATTGGAAAGACAGAGATGAACTGAAAGGAATCTTTACAGCAAAGTGCTATTTAGGCTGACTAATAGATATCATTGCGGCGAAGAGAAATTCAACGTCATAATAAGCACACTGTTTTACAGATTTTTTTGTTATTTTTCACAAAAGAGCAAAGAGTTGTACACAGCATTTCATAGAAGAAAAAAAAATTGGATGAAAATTACCAATTCAAGAGGATGACGACACGAAATTACTGCATGAAATGACCGACAATATACAGCAAAGTGTTGGCTTTTTTTAATTATCATGTTGTTGTTTTGTAGCTTTAAAGTTATGTGTTTGCGAAGAACGAAGGGTCGTAAGGTTGAACATCCCCGATGAGATAATTAAAAACTGTATTCATCGAACTTTTGAAAGATTCCAGCCGCACGCAACTGCGATGATTGAATAGTTGTATTATCTTCCAGAAATTTATACTGTCTAGTGCTAGGGTGTTACCGTATAAACTTGACTGCGCTAAAAGTCGTTTGACTGACCCCGTATAATCTCATTCGAATGCTTCAAGGCTCTTACCAGCGGGAAAGAACATTAATAGGCTTACCTTTTCATCAGGTTAATATGCCAAAAATGGAACTAATCGGGTCCATTACCTCAATGGCAACATGGTGAGCAATAACACAGTTGTCCAAAGCCCGAACCCTGACGGCACTTTTAAGGGTCTCTACTTTAAATTAAAAACAGCTTCCAGTAAGAATTCACTGAGTGGATTTGCTGGGTGGTAGGAAAACGGCAAACAGATTTAAATAGTGGGATTGGATCGTGACTTGCGACAAACAGTAAATCCAATCATTGATTTTTTTTTTAAATTTTGCTTTTCAGCAAAAGCCGTGTGTTTGCTTTTCAAGGTAGCTTTTCAAGCCGGATATTTGAGATAACTTTCTTCATACTCAGTGAGTTAATTACTGAGGTTCAAGGTTAAAACATTTCGCCGGTCTCCAGAATATAGTGGGAAAGTCGTGAGAAAACAGATGCCGGGTTAAACTTGACATATTTACCGGCTGTTTGGCCATATTTTACAATGTGGTAGCGGCGTTCAACTTAGGAAACTTTTCTCCATGCGCCCGGAAAATGAAAAATGGCCGCCGCCCCCGTGCTCGAAAATTTTATGCGGAAACTTCTGGCGCCGGAAATTTTTTACCTCGATTCGGCAACCTTTACGGAGAGAGGGTCGCTTACTCAGCAGGTAGATACGATGTGTATAATTTCAACTTCGTACCTGAATAAAATGATCCCAGATGAATTCGTTCTTGACAATTATTTGCACCTGTATCTGGGCAAAGTACAGTAGACAACACTTGGCCTGTTGTCTTTTCCTCATGCACTGAGCATGGTCGATCGCGTCCCGTTTTGAAAACAATCTAGAAAATTGATAGTTTTTCAGTTATGTGGCAAAAATTTCGGAGAATAGCGAGAAGTTTCATGGTCTTAGTCTAACGAACTGAAAAAATGGCTAGCCTTCAAATTATCTTGTATAAGTGCTTACAATATATAAAACAAGCATATACTATCACTGTCACTACGGAGCTAAATGCTACCGTACATTTTCGTTGATGAACTTTTCCTTTCAGAAAGATTCGCATAATTTTTTTAATAAAAATTCCAATAAATAAACTCAAGCCAAATAAAACAGCTGCGGAAAGTTATCTTGCGATGGTACACACAGGCGTTTCTAGCTAGTTGAAGGTAGTTTCAGTCTCAAGCTTTTGTGGCCCTATGAATTTCCCCGCATGAATGAGGGTATGAAGAAATGTTTGATAAATCAGTCTTGTTAAATGTAAACTTCTTTCAAGTACAGAACCGTGCTTTTTGTAGATTACACTTTTTATAATGTTCCTCTAAATAAGGGCAGTCGACTGCACTATGGCCAAAAATTTGGTCGGATTTAAAACGTGACACTTTAACCGGCTATCGAACTGAAACGAATAGCAACCTGTGATTTTGGGCCAGTTTATATAATACTGATGTTTAGTGACTTTTTAATCCCTTGATTCTGCAGATTAATCAAGGAACAATTTACACCCTCTCAAGAACCTCCGCCATATTGTTCGGGTATTAGCTTGCCACGCGACATCTTCCTTTTCACAATTAGCTTCCCGAAGCCTCGGAAGAAGGAAAATAAAGAGATATTTTCCCTAAGGAAGATGAATTTCCGCCATAAAGGCAAAGGAAATTATATACTGACAAGAAATATTGTACAGTTCTGGGGGTATATAACAGTTAACCCAAACAAAGCGTCCAAGGCAGTCACTATGCTGGTCATGTGTGTTTTGGAAAAATCTTGTTGGCGTTTCACTAGAAGGATATTGAATCTTTCTTTAATTACTTTACCTAACTAATCAATCTTATTATTAAACGAGCCTCGCATGTTTTAAGTAGAGCGTAACTACAGTGCTGGTCTATTTAAAAGGAAGTACTTTGTGACGCAGCAGTTCCGTTAGCTTCCTTTGTAATCGGAAGGCTGAGAGTCGGGCCATTCGAATCCGCAAAAGAGCCGCGCATCCCTGCGCTAACCTGTTTATTGTTATGTCTCAGTTTCATAAAAGGTCAGGGTTACTTTCTGGTGCTGTAGTCTGAGTATAATAATCCTTAATATGATAGGTGTGACCATTTATATCATTGGATGTCACAATTACTTTCCCGCCGTGTACTCGCTGTTTATGGTTTTCTTAACGAACGGTTGTCCAGGGTGTAAAATTGGGGTCAGATATTGAACCGTTAACTAAATTGTGAGTCTTCTTATGTAATTACTTTTCATAAGGCTACTCCGGCTTTAGCGATGTGCCCTGAATAGCTGATGTGTAGATAATTTTCTTGTTATTGACTTCATTTTTTCATGGGTTATGGGTGTCGCTAGATATTCTTTTTCTTCCTATGTTTGGGGGAGGAGGGGGGAGGTGGTTTTGGGTGGTTTAAACTTGTAGGTGACTTCGTGTTCTATTGTTTTTCTACCTGGTTTATGTTATGTATACTAGATTGTATATAAATAACTTCAACATTTATCGATCATGAATCAGGTAATACAAGTAAAAAAATATGGAAAATACTATGATAACACTTTAATACAGTGCGGGACGGTAAGTTTGGTTCGCTTTGGATTGCGCATGCAAAGGCCCATGACAATGAGCAATCAGTTGCGCTACCGATCAATTTCGATTCTCATTGGTCACGCTAAGTGTTTTTTCCCTCAGTGGTGCGACATAGTCCCGGGATATAGTACCGAATGACTCCTACATTGTCTGTTAGCGGGCATCCATGAGTCTTCAATCCCTCCATTCAATTGTCCAACCCGGGGAAAGGGGGTTACTTGAGTCAATTTTTGTTGGGTATGTGCAGCTGACCGCTGAGAGCCCCTACCCCATTATAGTCTATTCTGTCGCCAATTATAGACCCCATCTTCGCGATACCAGCCAAGTCACTGTCAGTCTTTTACCGCGCATTTTCCCATTTTTAAGAATTTGTTACCCCAATAATCCGGAAAAGGGGAGAAGGGGGGGGGGAATATTTTTGACTATTGAAAATGGAACCACATTATAGTCAATCCAAGTCTTGAAAATGCGACCCCATCCAGCAGCACATTTCCAGTAGCCTATTACGAGGAAGTATACCTTTCGGTTGTCCCAGTTGAGGTGACGTGTTATATGGATGGCCTCTCAGTTCGTACACAAAAAGCAAAGGATACAGTTTGTACCCCACGCGTAGACACTTGTCACTACAGCTTTGTCTTATTATGGATTCTCTTGGTGGGGTAAGCTTACAAGCGTGCCGTGCATCGAGATAAGGTCAAAGACTTCCGTTGTATAAATTAGCGCTTGGTAAAAGCCACACAGAGACACCATTTGATTGTTCGTAAGGTCACCAATGTCATGACCACGGACAGTCAAAATATATATGATTTGCCAAGGTAATGTGAAAGTTGGAACATGAATAAAAACAACAAACGCATAACTCAGTTGAAGTACAAAGTCTGGAATAATTTTCTTTAACTTTAAATGTCTATACACAATATATTACAAGATGATAAGTATGGTCAAGAGAGAATAATTGCATAGAGAAAGAGACGTCCAGTCAAACCCTTGGGATATGTGAATTTCTCCAAAGTTATTTTTAGACCAATTGAATGCTTGAAATTAATCGGAAGTTGGCTCCCGGAGAGGTCCGCAAATTCTTACTTAGTGTTGTCAAAAGAGAATTCAACAGTTGCCATTACAATATTCTGGGTTTTTTTTTTTGGTTTGAGGCAGTCGCGCGTGGCCTTCATGACGTTTCAAACAATCGATAAAAATTTACAGAGTTCTAAGGCGCATCAGACTTCCGTTTTATTACAACCTACAGAAATAACGTTAGTGAAATTCACACATCCCGACCAACGCCCTAGTATTCCCTCACTGTCTCATTATTGGTATGGTCAGGAGCCAGTTACTCCTATTATTAGGAACCTATTACTCCTGTCCTGGTAAGGTACAATCTTCTCGTACCTTTCAAAGTTTTTAAGTTTTGATCACAGCCAGCCTTGCTGTTGAATAAATATAACCCAAACAAACTTTCGAAGGCTTAGGGACACCTCTATCTATAATACGTACAAATTTTTATTTATCCAGCGAACAAGTCCCCAGGGGGAGGGAAGTGGGGTAACGGAGAAAAAACCGCCGCCTTAGAGCTCCCTAGCGAGCCTTCTTGCAGGCTAATTTCTATTATGGACATTTCTCCTCATCAAAAAGACACCAAACTAAATGCAATTCTAACTTCTACAAAACGGACACCTCTGTAATACGGACACTTGGTTCTGTCCCTTCGGTGTCCGTATTAGAAAGTATTACTGTATTTTATGCGGGGAATAGCGCGATTTTCAACGTAACGTAACGTAAAACGAAACGTAACAGTAAAACAGGACTAGCTAATCACAACGTGGAACACACGCAGACCAATGTCAAACTGATCCGAACTTGATAACAATGTAAGCACGGAAAAACAAATATTTCTTTTTTGATAAGCTGAAAAAGTGACGCAGGGTGATTCTAGCCAACCAGAAACAAATACAAATTAATTATATCTGCTGAAGATTGGCTGCACTGCATCCTCGCGCTTTGTGTGGATGTTTTGTGGAGGAGTGACTGTATGTTCTCTTGACTAGGCTTAATCCACATCCACATCTTGTTCAGAATCTTTGTTTTCGTTGCCCTCTGTCACGTGTTCAGTCACGTGTTCTGATTGCTCGTCTTCTGCCTCAGTGAGCTCGGTTTCTGTATCGTTGCTGCAGCATTCTGATATCCCGCCATGCCTTTCTCGCTTCGCCTTCGCTCGGCGGTTTTGAAACCAAACCTAGGAAGTGTTCGAAAAAAAGTTGAGCTCTGTCGACATTAAAACTGTTTGACTCTAGTCGAAATCTCTTTAATTTCCCCTTTCACTATTTCCTGATACGACTTGACTTTATCTTATTTAATTCCATCACACCTACATTTTCTCAATTGAATTTTATCTTACTTTTAAAAACTTTCTTGACTTCGCTTTACCTGACATGACTTCCCTATTTTAAAAGACTGCTCAGGAAAACAGGTAAATTCCTGATTCGTATCCAGTCGCCACTTAATCTCGCAAAGGAATATGGAAAGGAAGATCGACGCGCGCAATGGCGCTTGCGAAGAAGGGTTTTTCTTCATTCCCTTAATGCACCGCGAACTCGCTAAATCCTTGCCATTAATAACAGCGGGAATATAAAGAAGCGACTTGGTACGAGTCAGCTCTTTTATGAATGCAAAAACGAAGATTACCTGTACTCGCGAGTCCCTCAGACCGAGTCTTAACGCAAGAGTCTTCTTAAACACGCTGGTCGGGTACGGATTGAGAGAGAACGCACGCTCAAGCTCATCAATTTGCCATCTTTTGTAGGTGGTTCGGTTTCGTCTGCCAGTTTTGTCGAGACAGAAATCTAGATACAAGTTAAAAAGAGAATTAAAATCTTGGCTTATCTGCTATTGTAACAATATAAGATGAAAAGGAAAAGAAAAGACTAGAAATGCCCCCACCCCCTCACATGCACACACACACAGTTGCACGGTAACAAGGCCTGTCAATATGAGGAAAACGTCTTGATTTTTTAGGTCAGTTTAAATGAAGAAGTCACTGTCACTATGTGTTAATCAGTGGTGTTATTAGCAACAAGAGCTTCTCCGCTATAGCTTTAAACATTCCAGCAAAGAAATAATTGTATTAAATTAATAGCCCAACGAAGAATAAATAAAGTCAGCAAGAGCATGTGTCAGTATTGCACGACCATTATCGTCACTAGCGTTTTTTTGCTAGTTTATGGAAGCTTGTTTCCGTTTCATTTTCGCTGATTTTTGTACACAGGTTAAAATTCGTGCAATGGCTCTGACAAACCATCAGAGCCATCATCCAATCAGGAACAAGACTACATCGACCTCTATATGTGCGTCTTTCCTAACTATACTGCTAGCACTACTGAACGTTTTCCCGCCCTTGCGGTTGAATATTTTCCCGTACTTTCGTCGTCATTCTTTTAGCCAGTAAGGAACAAGACCTCGTCGACATCTAACTATTCTAGTAGTACTTCTTAATATTTTCCCGCCCTTGCGTGCCGTTAAATCTTAATCATTTCCCGCAATTGCGACTGAATATTTACCAGAGCTAGCTTCAGGATGCATGCCCTTCGACTTACTCCCTTTAATTAATTCTCGCGTTCTCTTGGACCTGCCGTTATATCTTCCCGCGCTCAACATCAGGCTGGAGCCGAAATGCGTCCCGCAATTCATGTTTGTGGGATCGTTACTGGGGACGCGCCTGTCGGCTATTGGCCAATTTTTTTCCCAGTCCCTTGCAACAGTCCCAGAAGTCTTTGCGGAGGTTAACTCGACCCAGTTTCCTTTCTAAAGTGGCGAATTGGTTTTGCTGTTAACCGGATTTTGCTAAAAAAAAAGTTAAGCCATCCAATTACGCGTTTATGGATACTAAAAGATCAGCCAACAAATGTCATCTCGCAAAAGGTATTATTTACTCGTATAGACACATCTTCGTTTATACAGCGCAACAGAATGCCTTTGTTTAACCTCAGCTGGACACGTGTGAATACTTCAGGAAAGGTGATAAAACATACTATCTGAAAGTGTCATAGAAAAATGATGTCTTTTAACCTAACATAGTAAAATCATTTATAATAGCCATTCTTGCCTTTGTTCATTTATTAAACTGCACACAGAGCAAAATCGCCAATTATTAAAGGGAAAAACTAGTTCGTCTTGTGTTTAATTAGCCGATCTGGAATGATTAGTGAAAATATTAAAGAATAGATAGGTTGAATTCATGCTCTTTTAACGATGACATTTGAACAAAAGGACTGAAAAAGCATAACATAAGGATAGAATCTATCTTATGTAGCCCTTATGTATCTCATTCTATAGCTTTTAGTTTTAACTCTCCACTTTAAGACCAGTAATGCCGACTGGCTAGAGAATTCGTCATCTTAACTTTTTTAAATCAATGGACCAAATCCTCTGGTGTTACCATTCAAACGAAACCTCTTTTCCAGAACTTTTGAATAGTAATATTTATTTGTCAAGATATTTTAAAAAGAAATTTTGATGATTTTTTTGTAAAATTTTTCTTTGGCCTCTAATATTTCCTCATCATTCCTTATGTTTTTATGAGAAACAACAGCTCAATTTACGAGTACACAAAGAGCAACCCAGTTTAATTTAGATAAATTGCGTGATATCTATTGTCCCATTTCTAGTATCTTATTCTCTATAGAAATTCAAGTTTAGCGCTTATTTCCTCCCGGGTTGTACATCTTCCAATTTAAACACCAGCGCCCACTTTCACATATTTGAAATTCCTAGTTTCTCCTTCATTCTTTATTCATTCATGTTTATTTCACTTTATTTTATTTTGTCGCGAACTATAAGCCCATACTGTGGACATATCGACAAAACTAAAGAACAATACGCTTTAAAACAGTGACCTTTACCTAAACCATTAACGGCAATCAAAGACGAGACTTATTCCTATTGTTATTCTATACTGGACAAAAAAATCAATAACCAGGAACTTTGTGGGACTTTTGCGGAGTCGCATGACTTTTGATGTATTAGTATTATTGCTATTCACAGTATCATGAGTTTCAGGATATATAGAGACAAATAACGCCCTTTCTTGAAATATGGTCGAAATCAGTTGAAACAATGCAAATGATATCTATGAGATTTCAAATGAATACTTTGTACACGCTTTAGCCTCCATTAGGACACTATGAAATAAATCTCAATTCTGCCTCAGAAGAATTCTATGGAAAAATATAATCGCTTTTGACCTAAAGTGTACTCCAAATATTAAGAAGGATACAGAGACGGATAAAAGCGTGAGGAAAAAGAGAAACCGTGCACAAAGAAATAGATTCCAAAGCCTAAATTGTTAGACTTAAATTATCTTTTATTTTCTTTATGAAAACCTCAAGCTTTGCCGGATAGTTTTTTATGCAGTTTCACAGGAGTTTCCCGGTCATTTACGACTCTAGTTGAATTCAATGTATGCCAACGAGTTACACGTTTAGTATGACTGATTGAGACGCAACGTTAACAGCGGCACTTCATATATTGTTTTTATGATTCTATCCCAGTAGTTTGAAAATTAGCTTGGTGTTCTATGCGTTCGCTTACAGTATCAGTATATTGAAAAACGTGATGCTTAAACATTTTCAACAGAAAAAAATGTGAAGATTTTAGAGCAGAATGTCGATCATACGATGTAGCAAGACTAATCAGTTTAATCATGATTATTTCTTCCCAGTCGTTTCGGCAATGCCACTAAACACTTTTATTAATCGTCAAGTTGTGGGGATTATAACAACTGCAATAGCTATATCTGAACGATCTCAAGTCGATGATTTATACCCCAACAAATTAAACACGTTTGTTCTGGAGCTAGGAAGGAGCGATAATGAGGTAATTAAGAAATACTTGGTTGGTGTGAATTTTTGTATCAAGGTTGATATTAAGATTTGGCTTTTGTGTATTTTTCGAAACAAGAATGGATTCGAGGTGCGGGCCTGATGTTTTCTCAACCTGTCAGCTGCACAAAGCTCGAGCTACCAAGAGATCATTTCCAAGTTAATTACCTTGAATTTTATGTCAAAATCAATTTGTGAAAGAGTGGCATATTGGAAAACATTGATATTGAATGAAGGGCTTCGTTGATATTTCTGATCGTTGGCCACCCTGATTTTCATGCCTCTAAAATGAATGTGAAATGAACACTATCAATTATATGACGCATTCGCCAGGCTATTGTTTAAGACCGAGTTGTCCCCATTAGTTTAACTGAACATTTGCGCTCAAAAACGCACCAAAAACCACTTAAAGACAAAATTTTTATTTCGCTGAGATCAAACAGAAGAAAAAAAGATTAAACAAAAAAAGCCATAAAAATTGAGAAGTTGAGATTTGCCTCAGTAATGCATTTTACTAATTTTTCATTCGCTAATAAGACTCATTAGTATAAACAATATTTTATTAGCAGAAAACAGGGCAAGTTAATAATGCGCATAAAATACCGTTTAATAGTTTATAAGGACTTACTTGCATGGAAATCAGTAAAAGCAGAAAATATGTTTTATTTATTGTTAAAAATAATTGAAAAGAAAAAAAAACGCAGTGCGTGCGCTTCGGAACTGCCTCAAGAATGATTCAAGCGACATTAAATAAATCGGTGTAAAAGACGCCAGTTATCTGAGAAGTGTGGATAAAAGTAAGCTTTAATCAGGGCTCGCATTAGTGGTTGTAGGGAAGAACACTTGGCTATTAAATTCACCTGAAATTAGTCGGTCATGAACCGGATTAGATGGACACAAAAGAGCCTGAGTGGAATAGAAAATCTCAGCTCATTATTAATTCGATCTTGCTATTGTGATTTTTAAAAGCGAAAAACCTACAAAACAAAACCCATTTGGAGAGGAAAAGATTGTCCCCTGCGTTATAAAACCATCTGCCTTTTTGACTACAAGGAAAATTGACATTTAAACACTCTCGAATACAAATTGCTTTGGCCGTGCGATATGTAATTATATTTTTTTCTTCAGTGGTAAAAACTGAGTGGCCAATACTACGATTAACCCCAGTTGCACAATCTTTCGACCAAATCAAAGCAAACTTTGCTTCATTTTCGCAAATAAAAACCGCACTGCTCACTCTGACCGTAAAAATAAAAAAAACATGTAGAAATTAACCCCTAATGCTGTTGTTTTAATTACTTTTACTGATAAAAATCCATCAATTGGATATCAGATCTCACTTGGTTATGCGCTTACATCTAAGCTTTACACTGAAAACAGAACATTAAAGGCTCGATATTGGAAACTCTGAGAAAATAAGCTTTATAAACACTGCGACAAGCCTTTAAATTGCGCTAAATACTAGGTTATGATGAAAACCGGATGTTGAGAACTCTAAAAGCGCGATAAAGACATCAATCATTTAGTGGGGGTGTTGGTCAAGGTTATATCATCCCAAAGGTGCATTACGTTTAGGAAACTCTTTTGGCTGAATAGTCATTGATACATACCGTTTTTCAGATCGTCAAGATCCCTGCTTCGTCCTTCTCTGTCCGATTCCGATAAGTTGCGAGCCTCCGTGTCGACAATTTGAACTCGACTCCTTTCACAGTAACACTCACAGGTGCATCGCGGAATGCTGACCACTTGGTAAGGTGATACAGCCCCGTATCTCATGCCTGTAAGGCGATACGGGTGATGCTGGGGGGAATACAGGTAGTGATGCTTCAAGAGATCCATGTTGTGTTGTGATGAAGCTCGCGTCGTGAAGTTAAATTAACTGGCTAACCAGTCGATACAAATATAGAGGGCGAGTTTACAAAGCTGTTCAATTGTGTGCTGAATACCCGCAACCCTTAATTGAGCTAGGTGTGAAAGGTACCCGTCAGCCAATACCGACCAGGGGTGTCAAAAGCTTCACTGCGCGCCTTTGTTGTAATTCACAAAAAAAGGATCTTGAGTGAAGAGCGGAGCGTGACATTCTGTTACCATGGAGACCAGAAAACCACAGCATTTTGCCGGGATTTCTTCAAGGGTAGGTTTCAGTCATTGAAAACGCAGATAATCTGTTATTATATAATTCGTTAATAAACAAAAATCGTAAGTGTTCAAAAGACCGGATATCGAGGTGAATTCACAGCTTTCGCTCACTGGAGTCATCCCTTAAAGAATTAACTTTGCCTCCTGTTGAAGGGTATTTTCTCGAGTCAAGTATAGTGGAAGGCAACTTTCAAAGATTGCTTTTATAAATACGGAGTTCATTTAGCTAGAAACTTTAAAATCTTTGGATAACCTAAGTCAAAACTAATAGCATTAACAAAAAAGTTTATTAAATTTTTAAGCCGATAAGTTCTCAAGGGGCTGATTGTGTTTTCCAATAACTGGACTGATTTTTATGCCAAATACGGTGAAGAAACACAATGCTCAGCTTCACAGTGATTTAAGATCCAAAAGATCTGATCAACACAGTAATTGCCTTATTTTCTATTTTTCCTGGACGAAACGTGAAAAGAGGTTAATGAGTTGTTTCAAACAAAGCTAACTTCTCTGTCCGATATAATCTACAATATCTGATGGTTTATTAAATTATTCATCAACTCGATCTTTATGCAGCTCGTTAAACTTAAATTGTCGAGGAAGGCTCTTCAAGCCAACACCTTTTTGAAAAGGCAGGCTTGTTTCTCGAAGCTCCTATTTTCTATTAGAATAATCAGATTTTACATCTCTTCTTAAAACAATTTTTTCGCGGGGTTTTCTAGAACTTAGCCTATTCTTCTTTTCAAGCTCTAAGAAGGATGTATATAGTTTGAAAAAGTTTTTGGTTTTATAAATGTAGATTGATAAGCCTTATATACCTCGTGTATTTATACCGCGAATTTAAGCAAACAAATGCAATGAGTAATCTCAGATTGGTTTTTGCTGAGTATCGAGAATTGTTCATAAATTTGCAGTCGCGACCGAGGAAATGCCTTTCCTCTCTCTTGTTGCGGTAACATATCCGTTGAGTAAAACAAAGTAATGGTTTGCAATAAACACACAACTTAAAGTCCCTTTGAATTCTCACTCGTCGATGTCAAACTCTTAGGGTCGCTTCCAGAACTCGTGAAAGACTCAATTATACTTCCTAGAACACTCGACTGACAGGCTTTTAACATCGTGAAGTCGATCGCGCACTATAGAAGCTTAAAGGCAATAACGTAAGTGATATGGCAACGAAGTATTCATACGAGCTCATCATGAAAAGATTTTCTAGGCTTCAGTAAACATCTACCTAGACATTAATGATCTACTGTATGCTTAAAGCTGATTAGAACAGAGTTGTTTTCGGATTGCATTAACATATAAAACAAAGCAAATCTTTTATTGATGTTCAGCTTTGAAATACGCCACATTAATTACTACTTTCATTCGAGTTAACAGAGCGCCTGTTGTTTTTCATCATTTCATTTGTGCTTATTTGCTAATAAAAAAATGAATTTTGTCTAGGTAACGTAAAGGCTAGTTCGCCATTACAGCGATCATTATATGTGCGCGTCTAATGCGAGACATTTAAGTGTTATAAGATCTATAGTCCCTGTTCTATGAAACAACAGAAAAAGACACGAGTTCATCTTAATAGTAAAGAATTAATATTTTAATATTCATGATGATTGCTAGTCCAAATAAAAGTCATAATAAAGAGATTGATTCTTTGTTAATCCCAGCAAAAAATCCGTTCATCAGTAAAAGAGTCACAGTTAGCTTTTGTCACCGAACTTAGAAAAAGCTGTTTCATAATGAAACCTATATGTATTAATTTATTTCCCTGTTATTTAATGTGCCCCCAAACAAGGCCTATAATTCAAGGGCTACGCGTTGTTTCGCTCTGATTCAAGAGTGCCTTTTAAAAAGACCCTACAAGGAAAGGGGAAGATGCTACAATAATTCATCGACCTACAGTTAAGATTAAAATAATAAAAAAATAAATTCAAAAAAGAAGCATGTGGTAATGTTCCTAAAAGTTTCGATTTTAGAGGCTAAACGACTAAGAAATATATAGAACTGAAACACAGCGGTGCAAATTGTCCAAATTATGCCGAACATTAGCGAACGCCTGGTTTCCAGATCCCTCTCGATCACCTGAACCGCCTCGAACTGTCCTCAAGCGATCGTGATGGGGCGATCATCCGGACGATCGATTTCACGCAATCGCTTTCGCCTGGATAGAAGTGACGTTTACATAGCAGTTCTGGTTTTCAGATAATCGCTCGGACCGTCCTAAAAAATCAAGGCGACCGGACGTGAACGATTACAAAGGAACCATGTGTGGCGTGGAAAACACTTGATTACCGATTGACTGCAAACCAGATTTGTGAGCCCGCGGAAATGAGCACCGCTGCTGCCAAAACCTTGTTTTCACTGCAACCGCTGGTCATGGGCTCCTGGTTTAGGTCTATGTAAATCTAGTTGCTACAGTGTGGCTTTGTAAGACAATCAAAACTCCTCCCTGCAAAAAGTCTTAGCATCACACACTGACAACATTACTGACTGCGTGTATCCATGGTGTGTTTAAAAAATTTCACAAATTGAAACCTCTTAATTCTTGGAAATACTGCGGCTAGAATAATCGACATGGTATACCTGTGGTACTACTAAAATAATTTGTAATCACTTGCTTTGGCGTTAACAGGATGAGGATGGACTTGGCTTTCTTTGTCCCACGTCATCTTGTATATTCAAACCATTTTCAAACGGTAATCTATAGGTTTAGGTCATATATAGCAACAGGTCAAGCACAAATATTCAGAAAAATGAACTTCACTCTTAAAAAACCCATACTTTCCTGTAATAATAAATTCTATCAACAAAAAGGATAAGCTCACATGTATTTTAAAATAACCTTCCTATTGTGAACAATGACGTTTTCTATACAACTGCACAATAACTTGGCTTGATGAAAACTTTTAAGTTTTCTATGTGCTTATACCTTCCATGAAAAAATTTATAGCTTTAAGAGATGTTACCGTAAAATTCCGAAAATATGCCCCTCAATGTAAAAGCCCCTCAAAATCGTAATGCAAAAAACCCTCCGTTAAATCGCCCCTCCGAATATAAGCCCCCGCGGGGCTTGTACTTGGAATTTGCCCTCGAATACAAAGTCAAACAATGCAAACATGGTATATTCCTTCCCTCTACAATCTAGCCTAATCGATTTTGAAAAGCAAATTTCCCTCCGTACATAAGCCCCTCCAAAAATAAGCCCCTCAAAAAGAGCCTTTGAAAAATATAAGCCCCGGGGCTTATTTTCGGAATTTTATGGTATGTCAAGCTAACTTACATCTATCTTTTATTTTTACATACATTTTTAACTTTTTTTTTACTCTAATATCTTAAACGATTTCATGATCATTCTATACTAATAAGCAGAGTGATCCACCAAATCCAGTGTAAAATGAAATTTAAAAAATATTTTATTGTAAATTTAGGTTACTATAAATATGATATGGTAAGTTCTCACCTGCACCTGCAGCCATTGAATAAAATAATCCACTCATTGTCACCTGAGCCTGCGAGAATGAGTACCCCTGCTGCCAAAACTTTGTTTTCACTGCACACGCGCTGGTCACCGAATTTAGTTCAGGTCAATAGGGCCATTTATACGAGGAAAAATAAGACGCGTCTTACATAAGACGCGAACTTTCCGTGTAAACGGCACATTTCGTCTAAAAAAAGGCGCGGCTTAGCTAAGACGCGTCTTATTAGATAAGACATGCTCGTATGAATTTTACAGTTCGCGTCTTATTTTTCCTCGTATAAATGGCCCTAATGTGATCTAGTTACTATGTACAGTGTGGCGTTGTAAGACAGTCTACACTCTTCCCAGTAAAGTCACACACTGACAAAGATACTGACGGTGTGAGTTTTAAAAATGTCGCAATTTAAAACCTTTAATTCTTGGAAATACTGCCAGAATAATCGAAATCATTAAGTCCTTTAACCGGCCATAAACATTTAAAAAACTAAGTGCCATAATTCCTGCGGACCTTGAGACTAGGAGGGGGGCGTAAGGGGGGTACGAATACCGCAATACCGCACGTGGTAGCGCGAGTATACCGCAATACCGCATCAAAATTTAGTCAAATACCGAAACCGCAGTTACAAATGGGAAAAAGTTGACGTTGTCAATACTACAAATCCTCCTTTCAAATAGAAATAATACTTTTATGTCAGTGTTTCCAAATCAAGGTGCGTCGATGTCAAGCGTACGATAAACATAAGATCATTGCACTCGTTTAGCTTTGTTTATTACATGTATACGTTTACGTAAATAATACAACAGGAGTTTTCTAGTATCACTTTATATATTACTGAACTGGATCATAAACGGACGGAAAACAGTTGACTCTTATGAGGTTCTTTCAGATTCACAATTAACTCATGATCAGTTCTGTGTTGAGGGTTTCAAAACGACGACCCGGGCTGCCTTTTGGATTCGAAGGGCACACAATACACACTAGCCTGCGTAGCATGGCGGTTTTGGTTGGGCGCGCTAAATAATAAGTCGAAATAAGGCGGGCGCGGGCGAGGAGATTGGGGCGGGAGCTGCTTCGCCGCTCACAGTGGTGCTGCCGACAAAACCATGTAAAACTGCCATGCCTGGGGTGGGGGTACTTGGGTTAATATTTGGTTGGTATGTGCTGCTGGCCTCTCAGAGCCCCTACCCCATTACAGTCTATTCTGTGGCCAATTATAGATCCCATCTTAGTCATTTGAACAAATATTTAATTTTCGCGATCCCAACTTCGTCACTTTCTATTTTTATGAATTAACCTTGTTGTAGATCGAATGAAGAACACTTTACTTTTCATCTTCAATACAAAAATTCTCGTACCTTTGCAAACCGTAAATATGAAGAACTGTCTTACCCCAAAAAAGCAGAAAATGTGCGACCCCATTCTAAAAAAACTCTCTGAAAATGCGACCCCATTATAGTCAATCCAGTCGTGAAAATGCGACACCATCCAGCGGCACATCTTCATTAGCCTCTTATCAGGAAGTAACCCCCACCACCACCCCCGGGCTGCTATGTTGCGTAGGGTAAGCACACACGAATACTAGTACATTCTATATTCCTGCATGCACAACGAGAAAGACAAGTAGTAATTTTTAGGCCACACCATCTTTATAGATTATCTTTCGGCACTACGCAATTTATAACGATCTCACTGACCTCACTATTTGCTGAAATATCTGACTGATCACTTAGTTGACCCTCTGGATCGCTCTCTGTTGTTTGGCGACTGGCACGAAAGTGGTGGTAAGATTGGTATAAAGGAGGTTAACCACGTATCATTGGATGAAAAAGTTAATGTCGTTAATCATATCAAGTTAACTGAAATTAGAAGCCATACGATTTGTCTGCACTGTTTGCGCAATACAATCCCTGACTGTGCACCCAGGTCACGCAGGCTAGCCAGGGAGACCTTTTAGGATTTGTATCCTCTTGTCATGAAAAAGAAGCAGATCACCGCGACACAACGATTTTTTCACCGACTACGGCGGCGAAAAATTTAAACTTACCGCAAACCGCTTGGACTCTGAAAACCGCTTGGACTCTGAAAACCGCAATACCGTACTTTGAAATAAAAATTACCGTAACACCGCATCAAAAATGACCCAATACCGCAATACCGCAGAACCTTACGCCCCCCTCGACTAGAGTTGTCATACAAGTATATAAACAGTAATAGTTGTACAATGACCTACAATAGAAAAGCCTACAACGCCAATACTCATCAGGTTAGACAAGGAGGTGTTTTAAGTGCAACCAATAGGATTTTTTAGAATCCCATGATGCAACACAGAAAAACTACAACTAAATCGTCAAACCGAATTGTTCACCTGACCCGGCAATCAATGTCTTATAATCCAATGTTTAATGTTTTGCAGTCAAGTTTGAAAACAGAACTCAGTCGCGCAAAGTCTCTCCATATTATGGGTTGTATTGCTGGGTACAAACTAAACTACTTCGACCTCAACTTTTCATCCAAAGTACGAATTAAGTAAATAGAGCCTCCATTAAGAAAAACTGCCTTTTCAACAGGGGCTTGATTGTACAAATCGGTAGTTC